TTGGCACAGCACACAGTCATGCTTTCATTTAATCCTGACCTTTTCCATTTGTCACAGGTATGGATGCAAGAGGTTCTGGTCCATCAGTCTTGAATATCTTCAGTGTATCCAGCTTCTTAGCAACAGTATTTTCCTTGACCCTTAATTCAGTGTTGTGATGATACATTTGCATTTGCTGCAAGAAAAAAAAAAAAAAAAAAAAAAAAAGAAAGAATTGGTTACTAAAGTGCTTTTTTTAAAAAAAAAAAACCTGCAGTGGTTAATGCATGTTTTTCTTCTATCCTGACGTGTTTTTAAATTCTTTATATTTCACTGTAAGTTGAAGTAAAAATACCATGTAAAGTTTAGCAAATCCTTTAAAAAGGAATCTAAAATGCCTTAATACTTGAACCAAAGGAGTTTACATATTAGATATTTCAGATACAGTGTAAGAGAGAGGGAGAGCAGTGGCACTATGGTCAGAGGAGGAGGTTAGCTCAGTGAGAAACTCCATTTTTGCAGCGACACTGAACTGTTCTGGGGATGTTCTGCGTTGTTACAATACTGTTCTACAGAGAAAAGATGAAATCAGAGACATGGGTGTTGTCAATCAGATGATAACACAGGGACCAAGTGGCTGTTCTTAAGACAGTGTCACAACCCAGGAGGTTTGGGATCAGTTTTCCTCGTGCCCTTTGTGTCAGCTGTTCTAAATCTGGCAAGAAATCCCAGCTGGAAGGGAGGGAAAAGTCTCAATATGGGTGTTAGTTTTGCACAGTCCACGCTGGGGTGTCCAAGAGGGGCCTCCACTGCTGCTCCGGAGAAATGATCTCACAGCTGTGTTTCAAAGAGGCCTCCCTGTTTTATCACACATGTTTATGCACCTTTTCAAACACCCACCCCTCCTCTCCATCCATAAGTTTTGAAGATAATTTCCTCAAACCCCCACCTTCTATTTCTTAACCAGGTTCTTCATCCGTAACCAAATTCTCCCACCTTCAGGCTCATTTTTATTGCCCTCCCTGGACTCCTGTCAGTGTTCCACTGACAGAAGGTCCCAGTTGGAAGCACCATGGCCTTAGGAAGAGGGATGACCACCAACTCCCTACCTTGAGATGCGGTGCTTCCAGATACGTAGCCTCAAATTATCTTGCTCTTTCATCTGCCACACTGCACTGTAAACATCCTTAATCCAGTGTTACAGTCAGAACTTCCCTTCCTGCTGCTCTTTAACCAATTCAAAACTATCCCACCTGGTCTGGCACTCAGACACACCCCACTGCTGTCACATGATTCTGGTAAGTTTATGGCAATACTGTAGGATATAATAAAAAATTACACAACAGCACTTCAGGCTTGCTATTATAGAGAAATCTGTGCTTGCTTTCATAGCAGTATATTAAAGATACATTAAACCTGGTCCATTTGACTTCTATACTTGTGAACTTAGTCAAATCAGCCTTTTAGACACCTTTTAGGGAGCTGACAACATCCCTGTAACAGCACACGTGCACATGACATCATAAAGGATATCCTCTTAAAGACCGCTCTTTTTAATTTCACAGTGTAATTACAACACACAGAACTACAAAGGGAGAACCAGGATTAATGAAATTATGGTAGCACTGTAGAAAAAAAAAAAAAAA